CTCAGATCCCTTTATTCCAGTGGTGAGCCCAGCAGTTTCACAACCATACCGCCCAACGCCAGCCCCCCGGATTAGGGTGCCACCACCTGCTTCCACGAGAGAACTGCAGCCAGCTGTGATTGATGAGAGCCCTGAGTTAACTGAAAACTTCAGGAGTATGGACAGTGCGTCCTTAATTCATGAGAGAGTACCATCACAAGCACATCACAGCAAACAGTTTCACTCCAGAGACCCTCCATTCTCTCAGTGCTTTCCATCTTATCAGTTTGAGACTTCAGCACATGAGCGGATGCCACCTGCTCGCAGACATGTGTGTGACCAGCCTTCACTCTCTCAGGAGAAAACATACAGTGGGCCTGCTCCAACCATTCCCTTTTTAACATCTCCTGATCCTAGAGAATTCTCAAGATTGAGGATAGCTTTAGAGAATATTCTGCCTGAGGATGCAACAGAGCACTTTAAATATCAGATACTTACTGACCACCTAAAGCTGGAGGAAGCACTTCTTGTGGCAGACTCGTACATTAATTCAAGGCTTCCATTTACTTACACCATGAGAGCACTTACCCCCACCAGTTAGCCTTACAATGCATAGCAGATCTGATGGATGGACCAAACATTCGTAGTGGAGATGTGAAAGCTTTTCGCTTGTTTGGGCTCCATGTACACTCCTTGGTCAGTATGTTGGAACAGCTAGGCCAGAAAGGGAACAACCGAGCTGGAGTGTGGGTCACATGTTTCCAGACTTATGAGCAAATTGCCACATGACCTCAGATCCAGTTTTAAGAGGTACACACACCCTCTTGGCGTTACCATTCCTACATTACTGGACTTTGCAGGATGGCTTGAATATAAGCTCCAGGTTCAGGGAGACCACACAGATTACACCCCTCAATCCAAACAAGTGTCATCAATGCCGAGAAAGGAAATACCAAAGTTCTACTCAGAAATGGCAACAAAGCTATGGAGGCATATGCTGTGCTTGATGATGGGTCAGAGCGGACCATTATTTTTCATGATGCAGTTCAGAAGCTGAAACTAAAGGGACAGCCAGAGGAATTAGCGCTTCGCACGGTCAGGCAAGAGACGCAGACCATTCACGGGGTGGCCGTGACCTTCACGGTGTCTTCAATGGATAACCCTCGTAAGGTGTTCAAGATACGGAGTGCATTCACAGCTAACAGCCTGGGTTTAGCAGAGCACACGCACCCAGTCCAGGTACTCCAGAAAAGGTACAAGCACCTCGCAGTCCTACCACTTCAGAACCTTCACAAGGTGAAACCCGTGATTCTTATTGGTTCTGACTACCCTCACCTCATAACACCCATCGAACCTGTCCGACTAGGCCCACCTGGGGGCCCTGCTGCTGTGAGAACCCGCCTAGGATGGACATTACAGGGTCCAGCACAAGAAATAACCACCAGACTTTCCCCTCAGCAGTGTCTCTTCACCAGTCTGCAACCCATTGACAACCTGTACGCTGATGTGGAGAAACTATGGAAAATGGGCATTCTCCCATATCAGAATGAGAAAGTGCTGACAAGGTCACGACAAGACCAGGAGTCCATCCAGCTTCTCCACGCGAAAACAGTGAGAATAGGAGTTAATGGAGTCCAGCGTTATGCAACTCCCCTACTGCGGGCTAAGGATATGCCATGCCTTCATGCACCCAAAGTAGCTGTGTTGCCACAGTTAAGGGGAATTGAAAATCGTCTGGAAAGGAAACCTGATCAAGCAGCAGCATACCAGGAAGAGATAAACAGGTTACAACAAGCTGGCTACATCACAAAACTCACCCCTGAACAAGTGAAAGAATCCAACAAAATCTGGTACATACCACACCCTATGGTAGAGCATAACGGGAAGAACAGGGTCGTATTTAACTGCTCATTCACATACAAAGGCCACAACTTGAATGAGTTCTTGCTACCTGGTCCAATACTCAGTCCTTCTCTCCTGGCAGTTCTACTACGTTTCAGAGAACAGTCCACTGCAGTTAGCAGTGACATTCGTGGTATGTTTCATCAGGTACGCCTTCTGCCTGAAGACAAACCACTGCTGCGATTCTTATGGAGAGATTTACAGAAGGATAAGCCTCCAGAGCTATACGAATGGCAGGTGCATCCCTTCGGAACCACATGTAGTCCCTGCTGTGCTACCTTCGCTCTGCAGAAGCATGTTCAGGATCACAGTGAAACCATGGACACACACGGGTCTCAGTGGAGAAATCTTTCTATGTTGACAACTGCCTCCAAAGTTTCTCCTCAAGTGAAATGGCAAGAGACCTTGGCAACAGACTCTGCAGCCTCTTAAGCTCTGGAGGCTTTGACCTAAGACAGTGGGCAAGCAACGATCCATCAGTCACCTGCCAGTCGAGGCTCAGTCTCAAAGCAGCATCCAATGGATTAGTGAAGGTCATCAGAATGCCCAGGAGTCAACTCTTGGTTTACACTGGCATTGCTTATCAGACACCCTCTCCTATAAACCCCGCTACACAGACCACCCACTTCCAACTATGCGGAGCATATATCATGTCCTAGCCAGCCAGTATGACCCCATCAGCTACATTGTGCCATTCACGATACGAGCTAAAGTGATTGTGCAGAGGTTATGGGACAAGAAAAGAGAGTGGGACGACCCTCGATTGCCCGAGGAACTGTTAAACTCATGGAAAGCCTGGGAGAATGAGCTAGACAATTTACAGTGCGTCAGCTGGCCAAGGTGTTACTGTAGTGAACAGCTTGATCATCCCACCAGTCTAAGGCAGATCCATGTTTTCTGCGATGCTTCAGAACAGGCCTACGGTTCAGTAGCATACTTGCGAACTGAAAATCCAGAGAGAGGAGTGGAAGTAGCCTTCATTACTGCCAGATCCCGTGTAACTCCTAAAAAACCTCGTTTGGAGTTATGTGCTGCACTGACTGGCGCACAGCTTGCTAAGGTTTTGAGAACAGAGCTTACCTTGCCCATCCATAGCATCACTCTGTGGTCTGATTCCACAACTGTGCTTAACTGGCTACTGTCACAATCCTGTCGATTTAAAGTGTTCGTGGGCACCAGAGTGGCTGAGATACAGGAACTCACAGAGTCTGATACCTGGAGGTACGTACCATCACAGGATAACCCTGCAGATGACATCACAAAGGGCAGATCTATTCGTGACATAGGATGAGAAAGCAGATGGTACAACGGGCCAAAATTTCTCAGCCAAACCCCTGATAGATGGCCAGAGATGCAGCCACTAACAACCACTAACCATGACAAAGAACTGAGAAAGTCAGCCTTTTGTGGTTTAACAGCCACCTCTCTGCCCACCCCAGACCCGCAGCAGTACTCAACCCTCGCAGATCTGCTAAAAGCCTATATTCAGCATGACAGTACACCAACAGCAGACTACAAAGAGGCAGGGTTGGCAGCCCTACGCCAAGTTCAAACTGACTGCTTTGCAGAGAAACTACCGTGTTTAAGATCAAATAAACCCCTGCCGAAAAACAGCAGACTGCTTTGTCTAGCACCTGAATTTTACAGTCTCTCAGAACTCATATGGGTTGGTGGCCGCCTTCGTCAGTACAGTGAGCCAGAAGAAGATGCCATACATCCAATTGCCCTTGACCCACATCACCCCATTACCAGACTGACAATCAAAGATTATGATCACCGGCTGCATCACCCAGGGCCCGAAAGGGTGTTTGCTGAGCTTCGGAGAAAGTACTGGGTGCTACGGGGACGAGCAGCAGTCAAAAGTCACCAACGGCAATGCACAGAGTGTCAACGGTGGCGAGGACAACCACATCCTCCCAGAATGGCAGACGTCCCCCCCGCCAGGCTTAGAATCCATCAACCAGCCTTCTACTCAACAGGTGTAGACTGTTTTGGACCATACACTATAAAGGTGGGACGCAGGCATGAAAAGAGATGGGGAATCATTTTTAAATGCATGACCTCACGTGCAGTCCACATTGACATACTTACCAGCATGGACACTGATTCCTTAATGGCTCTACGGAGATTCATTTCCAGACGTGGCAAACCCTTTGAACTCCTTGCAGACCAGGGTACCAATTTCAAAGGAGGAGAAAGGGAATTAAGGGAATCTTTCATGGCCCTTCATCATGAGCTACAAACCCACCAACGTTCGTTAAAGAACGCACTTCAAGTTACACTCGGCGCCCAGACAGTCAGCGAAGAAGTACTGAGGACAGTCCTTATAGAAATAGAAGGTATTCTCAATTCCAAACCCATTGCATACACCTTTTCAGACATTGCTGATCCAGACCCAGTAACTCCAAACCTCTTGTTGATGGGGCGGCGGGACACCTCATTACCTCAAGTTGTATACCACGATACTGATCTCTTAAGCCGTAGGAGATGGAAGCATAGTCAGCTCCTAGCTGACCACTTCTGGAGGCACTTTATCCGTTACTACCTACCAAACCTTCAGATTAGGCAGAAGTGGAAAACGGAAGGAACTGACCTGCAGACTGGTGATACTGTTATGATCGTGGACCAGCAACTGCCACGTGCTTTGTGGCCGGTGGGGAAGATCGTTCAGGTCTTTCCTGGAACTGATAAGAGAATCAGATCTGCAGAGATACAGGTGAAAGACAAAACGTACATCCGACCTGCTGCCAAAATTGTATGTCTACCCCCTCTTCATGACTAGCTGGATCAAATTCACACTGTGAATTTGGGGGCGGCTGTAGAAAGTATTCCCCCCGAAACATTGACTTTCCCGAACACCCCCAAACCATCTCTTCAAATTAGATGCTTGAAATGATTCCTTCAATATGCAATCAAGACAAAGACAACTCAACATAATCCAGCATATAAATCGATCTTCTACCCACAATGTTTACATCTGTACAATCTGTACAAGTTATATCAGGCCCTTTGAAATACGAATAAGACCTCATATAGAAAACTTGGACATAAATCTCGACAATCTAAGCCAGATTCACTTCTGTCCAGTTCCTCCATGGATTTGAAAAAGTTATCAATTTGGAACTGTCCTGTAGTAAGTAGGCTGAAACATATCCACATATTTATCATCAGCATGTCTTTGACATAAGCCTTTTTCCACATCATATATCATTAACTGATGGGTCAAAGATTGACAATCACGGATCTGCAGCAGCAGTAATTGGCCACCAACAGTATGGCATTCGTAGCCAGCATGTGATCGCGCCGGCGAATATCTCCATACAGTATGTATTTGTATCCAAATCTTTTAGCTCAAAATTGTACTTCAAATGCTGTAGCTAATGTTAAACTGGATCAGTTGTTCCCAACCGTGGTCCTGGAGTACCACCATCACTGCACATTATAGATGTCTCCTTAATCAAATGCACCTGATTCAACTCATCAGCTCATTAGTACAAACTCCAAAACCTCAGATTGGTTTGTCAGAGAGACAAAAAAGGTGCAGTATTGGGGGTACTCCCGGACTAGGGTTGGAAACCGCATAACTGGATTATTAACTTTTTCTCTATCACAGCTACAGTGCATGTCACAATATCTGAAGGCCAGGGTGTGCAGGCGGTGGGACAAACTGCAGGAATATTTAAATTCCGCCGACAGCTACAGTATCTGCGACGCAAAAGGGCTGGCGATTGCGGATACAACAGAGACCAAAGGTATTTCACTGCAAATGTCCACGTTTATGCCCTGAACTACCATACATGTTTATCAACTTCCCTAAGAGTCCTCTCTTTGAGGATGATGGCAATGGTAACCCTAGTTGTACCTGAGAAGTTTTTGAACTGCTTACACACAAAAGGTATGTGTTGGTTAAATATGCTTCAGTTTGTTTCCATTACCTTTTTAAGCAAACTATTTTATTGTGGTACACAAGCAAACTAGAAAACTGAAAAATAAAAAAAAGTGTTAAAGTATTGGAATTTTTTATTCATAGTGTTAGGCTATTGTAAGTGGGTTTGTCAGGACTCTATGAAGCTGAAACTGAAAAAGCCCAACAAACAAGTGCAAGAAATAATTTTTTCCTTGCATATTGTTTGTGCAGTTTTGTGAATTGTGTATAGTTTTGAAACATGCAACTAAGTTTTGAAAATGTAAGCAGAAACTGTGAAATGTTATGTGGGCATAATTTAGTAATGTTGTTGCATTTTAGATTTGGAATTTTGGAAAACATCGAGCTGGAAGGTATACGCCATCAGAACTGTAGACCTGGCCAAGCTCAAGACGGGAAGACTTGAAAGTGCTTCCAAAAAGAAAAGGCAAGTTTGTTTTCAAGAATCAAAATGATATATTATGCAGTAAAGGCCTGCCTTGCCCCAGTGTGAAACCATTTAAATAGCACTCACTATAAGTTGACTCCATCTTCACAGCTGTAGGCTTCTTTTACCAACTCACAGTAAAGCTTTCTGCTACACATTGTATGAGGCAAACTTTGCATGATGTTTTAGATTGGTAAGGTGTATACCTAATGTCCCAGGATTGCCCTGTGTGACCGGTAATTAAATTATACAAATTAGAGTAAAAACTTTCTCATCCATGTTGGCCTATTGCTATTTCTGCATGATTCACTTGTCATATTGTAAGGCTAGAAGCTTACACTGCTATTTTGAACCAGTATTAGAAACAAAAAGCAGAATGATGTGCAGAACTGAATTATGATTAAATTAATCTAACTCTAATAAAGCTGTTATTATATAACATCTTAGTTGTTTTTAGGTAAGAGTCTTTGCTAGAACTGATAAGAAAACATAAGATTTAACCTGAACGTTCAGTTCATGTTTAGTAAAATAGAGAGCCAGAGCCTCTGTGACTTACCAGGCAGAGGATGACATAATTGGTTTTAAAGGGTTAGTTCACCCCAAAAATGGAAAAAAAAATTGTCATTAATTACTCATCCTCATGTCGTTCCACATCGTAAGATCTTCGTTCATCTTCAGATCAAACGTCTTCCGGAAGCTCAAACGTGCTGCATAACCAATGAGGTTAATTCTTGTGTGTTATGTGGTGTGTTTGAGCTTCTGGAAGAGGTTTGTTCTTGTGTGTTATTCAGGTTTGTTTGAGTTTCTGCTTATGTTCGCTGATCAATGTTTACATGCGAGTAAAAGCCTAAATGAAATCTATTCATCATAACAAGTGATCAATTCTCTTCAGAATCAGTGATAAAAGGAAAGCTTCTCAAAGCCTTTAAAGCAGGCAAAATTATTAAGTTACATGCTTAAATATATACAGTTATGCAGCAATACACTGTGTAGTAAAACCAGTATCTAACGGTTACCTGTATGTCTGTAACTGTACAGGTACCCAATCAGTCTGTAATGCACTGCTTTGATCTCACTGATCAACTGTTACCACCTTTCATTCTGAAACTTATACCCTAAGCAAAGAAATGTTAAATGTTTAGAATTCAAACACCAAAATAGGGTTGTGCTGATAGGCAGTAGTATTGTATATTTATGATATTGTTATTATTAAGCTAGTATTATTAAATTGGCCTGCCATAGTTTTACTTAAGCATCACAGCATATAGCCGGGACAACATGCGCATTAAATCTAGCATTAAAATACTCCTCGTTGAAAATGTTTTAAAAACAGACTACAAAACTATAGCCCACATCAAATTCAAACTGCAAGGTGTTAAACCTATATTCACAAATTTGGTCAAGAGTGCTTTGAGAATGAGAGAATTTACCAATTTCTTGAACAGCTGTGAAAACTGCATCGTCATTGGTCAGTATTTTGTTTCCTTTGCATAGCACATAAACATAAAATGTTTGATAGGCCTAATAATATAATACAAATTACAACACTAACAAATTATTCATTTATTATATAATAAAAATGTATAGCTAGTAACAGTCTATAATAGGTCTGCACAATCAGTCAACAATAAATTAAAAACCGATTTGTTTAACACCAAAAAACAAATGAAAAAACAAAGATCATAAACCGGAAGAACAGTGAAATAGCCTGCAGTGGCCGCATACAATAACATTAAGAATCTATGGTGGTATAATTTTAAAGTAACATTTCAAATTTGTAATAAAACTAATAATGATGACTTATTACATTAACTCTTGATATTATTGATGTTACAGATAGACTGCAGTGAATTGAAATGCTGATACTGTCTGTGAAGTAATGGACATGTCTTTTTCACTTTTTTCAGGGTGCACTCTGAAGAAAATGAAGTTCTAGATGGCCTGCTCGACGTTGAGCTTGAGATAAAAAACTCTGCATCAAGGCTAGCTGAAAACATGGATGAAAAATTTAGCGAGCCAACCATTTCAGTCGCCCACATTAAGGCGAATGTCCTACAGGTAGTGCAACAGATTGAAGTGTTAGCGGAGATGAAGGAGAAAATTTCTGAAGTGTCAAGGTCACTATCCGTTGCGTCCTCTCTGCGAGATGCGGTAGCATGCAAGATGTGCACAAACATGCCCAATTCTGTGCTTGTTATAACTGCATGTTGTGGGCAGGTGGCAGGGTGTGGCCCCTGCATCCAGACGCATCTAAACGACAACGACAGCTGCCTTTTGTGTAAAGCAAATATGTTCGCAGGCAAACTGGTGTTTTTAAGAGGCCTGAGTGAGGTGCTAGCAAAACTGACGAATGAAGCGACTTAAATGGGGTCTGGCTGACCGTGTTTGGCTCAGAAGTTAAGAAATAATATTGTTTTACATATTTTTATATGCATTTGTTGTATACCTTGCTTTGTTGTATTTTGTTTAGAATCTTGGGCACGGTGTTCAGGGGTTAGTACGGCATCTGGCCGAGTAATTTTTGTTTTTCTGTATCACATTTTTGTATGTGTACTGTGTAGGGGTGTAAATTCATAACAGCCAGCTAAGTTTATTTGTGTAGTCCAGTGCCACATACAGTATCTTAATGGGCATTACTGTTCCACAGCAGTTTATGTTCCTGTTCCTGAATAGGCCATTTAAGAGAGACCCCCCATTTTCTTCTATACACTGTTGTTATATGAACCACAGCACATTTTGGCTCTCCTAGCAGAATATGCTTGTCTAGGGTAATTTCACTGTTAAAAACACCATTCATAGCACTGATAGTGATACAAGGTTTGTTGTATATCTTGTGGGGTATTATGAGAAACTAAATTCTGAATTTAACAAATGTTATAAATGTTTTTATTATGGTAATTAGCAAATGTTAAAATAAACCAGTTAAGCTTGCAAATGGACTTATGTCATTAATGCCAGTTACGTGTGACACTGACCCCACACTAAGTTCACGATAGTCATAGTGCATAGCTGATAAATATAGTGTTATGTTATGAGTGACTGTACCAAACATAAATCATGTTAATTAATGCAAATAATGTAGTGTCCTTGTACTTTAGCATGAAACCATTCCATGCTGCAGTTCAGGAGTGAGAGAAGACTGACAGAACAGACAATAAATAATACACAAATCCCAAAGATTTTGATAATGACAAAGGTGAGTTCAATCAAATATGTGCTGGTCCCAATTTGGGAGGTCACTTTAAATGATAAACATTAAAACTATTCATTCTGCAAAAACAGTTTGTTGTCAGCATTTTACTTTGTTTTTGGATGAATAATTCTTAGGCATTAATGTGTATGTTGCATTTTATTACTTTAAATACCGTTTTTATTTAAATACTGTTACCTTTAGACACAGAGTAGATATACAGCAATGCATCTTATAATCTCATGTTTGTAGCTTTGCTGTCCTGCAGCCACTTGCCTAAAAAAAATGACAACTTTTAATGACACTTTTTAAATGAGACTTTAATAAGAAAATTAAGTAACCAGTAAAGATGTCAGACAAATAGATTGGAGTAAAAAATGTTTGCCTCTGATATAGTGCAGTAGAAATCTAAATACTCAAAAGTTATTTGAAGGCTGCTACTGTTTAATCTGAACAACAAAAACAACACCATCACACTAGCTATTGCTCCAGTCTACGTGTAATGTTCACATGTCTACAAACCCTCCCAGAATAGGCCACTGTGACCTAAAAGACAATCGTAAAACATTTCATCATAACTACAGGTCGACAGCAGCAAAGTTTCCCTCTGCACCTGAAGGTCGGGGTGGCCATCAAGGGGGTCACGTCCAAACGGCGCAGGATAAGTCAGAGTTCCTCCGTTCCTAATGTAGTCAGCTGCAAGTTCCTCAGCAGGTGGAAAGAACTGAGGTGGGATTCGAGCGGTTCTGAGATGGGCTGCAAAAAGAGCATCAGGTATGCCCTTGGAAGGGATTGTATGTGCATTCCAGGCAGGGATGAAATTCTGCAGCCCAATCATGCAGCATTTTGAAGCAATGGCTGAGACACAATGCTTCCAAAAGGGGTCATCAATGTCCAGAAAACCATTGCTGACCAAGGCACACAGTGTGTACTTAACTGGGTAGTATATTCGCGAGTTGACTTCTACCCACTTTCTTTCAGCAGCGTGGTTCTGTCTTGACTGACTTTGAATGAAAGGGTGTCTGTTGACATTAGTGCGAAAGGCCCTAAGATTATCTTGTTGATACAGACATAAATAAAATTCACGTCCGTGATCAACTCTTAGCTGATCAAAAAGGCCATGACTCAAGCAGATTTCTCTGTACACTTCGTCATAAATTATAAGATTATTCTTGATCGGCATTACAGAAAATCCTAAAATTTCCCCACTGAAACCATCAGAGGCAACAACTTCAGTAACCCCAAAATCCACAAGCTTTTCGTTTTGGTCCATATGTAGTTTGTGACCGGCGTACTCAACGTAATAGACATGGGGATTCGTTTGGCGAGCAGTTCCCTCTCTTCACATCTGAGTGTACTGCGGGGTAATTTGTGCCAGTGCGCGCCTTACAGCCTTTTCACCCAACCTGTATCCCGAAGCTCTCAACGTCCCAGTCATCATCTTTCTACCGTACACAGGGCCGCAAACAGTAACTGCAGGTCGAACGACTGCATCCACACCATCTCTCCCTAGCCGTGCGTAATCAAAACGATGAATGTTCCTCGATGCGCAGAATTTAGAAATGGAGGAAATACTGGAGCCTCTCCCGAGTCCATATTGCTGCTGTAGGACCTCTTGAACTTGTTTGCATGTGTATCCCAGCTCCTCTACTAACCTGTGGATTACACTTTCGTAATCATCAAGCATACTCCACTCACACATCTTCCAGACAATCTGTGTTAACGTGCAGTCACACAGTTAATGGAGGTCTGATGATAAATGATTGCATGGTCAGACGTGTCAATGCATAGGCATATACATACAGCGCTCTGGGTAAATACATCCACATCCCCACCCCCCGCTCCCCCCACTGGTACGGTCCAACTGGGAGCACAAAAAAGAGAAGTGGAAAATCAGAATAATGAGTAATTTTTAATGTTAGTTAAAAAATCAGATTCGGACGCAACATCCCAAACTCGTAAAATTGAAAATTAAAATGACAGAATTATCCGTTTGAAAATTGCTCCAAAGAAATTGAAAATGAAAGTTTGAAACCAACTTTTCATTTGGTTCATTTTGATGGTGCGAATTGAACAAAGAACTGCAAAGGGTTACACGGACCGTTGCACGTTCTTTATTCTGCAAATGCTTCTGTTTGTAAAATGTTGCTTTATGTTGCTGTATTAGGCCTACATTGCATTAGCTTTAGCACATAATGATCATGGTCAAAATGATCAATGGTATATATTTTGACCTTTAGGACACCTGCAAATACCATAGCTTCTGAAGGACAGTAGCCTACAATAAATAAATAAATAAATATATAAATAAATAAATACACCAATCCTGTTTAAAAGTTTGTATCCTCGGACTCGTATTGCCGAGTAGTGAGCACTCACTTAACATACTGAACCAAAAATAAGTCTGCTGATTATTTTTTAATAAATATTTCTGTTTATCCTCTCATATATTTCACCTTTTTCACTAACCTGATCACCTGAGATTTTTCACATAATCAATCATTATCAATTAGGCCTGCTAAATGTCTGAAATTGTGAAATTTAAATGTCTTGGTCTTAAATTTAAATTTGACTGCTTTAGACAGATAAACAACACTCTCTTATTTTAGCATTAATATAATGTTGTGTTCAGGGGTGCATCTCTGGTCTGACAGGTGGAGGGACCAAAACTGAGAGTTGGGTAGTCAGTTTTCATACTATTTTAATATGCAATGGATTATCAAAATTAAAACAACACAATAAACAACTTTTTTTTCAGGAAATTATTATTATTAACAATTTAAGGAAGAAAAATTTAAAAGTTATTGTTTTCATTGCTTTTGGCTCATGTAACCTTGCATTTTAATAAATAATGTTACATAAGCCCAAGTAAACAGTAATAAATGATCAAATTACTAACAATAGCACAAATATTTTATGAAATAAACAGTGCTGTACATTTTTCAGGTAGGTCTAACAGTATATTCTGCAACAACATACTAAAATGTATAACTTTATAAATTAGAGAAACAGTATGAAAATTTTTAATCATGTGACCATAATCACAATTATCAATATTATCATGGTATAGTTAAAATGTCTTTAATAATTTTTAAGCTTCAAAATCAAAATGATCAATTTTAGGCATTTTATCTGCTCCATAAACAATTTTAAATAGGGTACCTTATTATCTGAAGTGTTGAAATTATTAGAATGCACATTAGTTTGTTTTCCATCTACTAGTTAGGATTTACAACACATTTGCTCTAATTTTTGCATTGGTCTGAATAGAAAGGGCAGACATGCTGAATGAAAATGTAAATCCACTGTCAGACAGCAGGTGGCGCTTATGAACAGCAGAAATAAAGCTGTTTTCACAGTAACCACTGTAAACAAAGCAGCGCTGCACTTATAAACACTGCTTTATTACGCATTACAAGGAGGGAAGATGGAAATCAAATGCCATCGAAACTTTTCTGAAGACAGTTGGTTCCCAATTTTGCATTCATACGATTCATTCATTCATACATTCTTTCATATAATTTGCTTCCAGTGCTGCACCTGCGTGAGACTCTTACTAACTTTGCTCAATGCTTAGCAGTATACCGTGAGGTTTCCCACACAGTGGTGGGCCGTCAGGGCCAGAAGGGCCTTCTCTGCTGGCCCTATAAAAAATTACAAATAAAAAAAGTGTGAAAAATGTTTTACTTGATTATTTAGTTATCATTTTCATTAGTGTAATGTCCACAAATTTGCCTATGATTCGTTTTGTTGTGGTTGCACTGTAATATCTGAGGTGAGCACTACAGATAGTGCTAAGCTTTTGTTGAAAGACGTCACATCTGATTTGTAAAACGCATTAGTGACAGAATCATCAGCCAATCAAATTTTGATGTTCAATGACAGCACGCTCTCTGGGTCTAGCGAAGTGCCCAGTGCAACCCTCAGTGTTTGTCGGGAATTTCCAAGGTATGACATGTGAAATTCAGCAAAATTCGCCGGCACCTTTACACCAGATCTTGTTGCAGATCTATTGTAAATGCCTTTTTCAAGGGGCCCTTTTGCAGACAAAACAGAAATAATTGAGAAAGCAAGACCTACACCCACACTGGATTCACTAACAATGTCCAGCAAGGGTTTGTTTGCCATTTGAAAGATTGCAACTATGAGTGCTGAGTGGCTAACAGCTAGCACTGAGCACAACAAGCTATGTTGTTTGCCGTGTTTACTTTTTAATACAGGTGCATCTCAATAAATTAGAATGTCATGGAAAAGTTCATTTATTTCAGTAATTCAACTCAAATTGTGAAACTCGTGTATTAAATAAATTCATTGCACACAGACTGAAGTAGTTTAAGTCTTTGGTTCTTTTATCTGTGTGCATTGAATTTATTTAATACACGAGTTTCACAATTTGAGTTGAATTACTGAAATAAATGAACTTTTCCATGACATTCTAATTTATTGAGATGCACCTGTATGAGTAAAGGGACATGGATTGATTCTGGCTTTGACAGTCCGTACAGCTTCACCAAGGCAGCTCTGAAACACCAAGGCTCTGAGCGCCATATAATCTCAGTCATGCATTTGAAAACATTTGGTAAATGTTGTGTGGACTATGATGGAGTGGCTGTAATGGCCTCGGGGCTAAACGGAGTACAGGCTTGCGTAAGACGAAGTCCCCCAGGCCCTCTTTGTGCATTGTTATGCACACACAATTTGAACCTAGTGATTTCACAGGGATCATCAAAAATTAAAGAATGCAAGGTATTTTTTGCAAATCTCTTGGTGGATTATCTGCATTTTTAACTCGTTCTCCCAAACGCACCAAATT